CCTTCATGCACTTGGAAAAGAAGAATTTCGTCTACTTTTTGAGTACATTCGAGAATGGAATACAGAGCCAAAGCTTCGTCAGGTTGCCCAGATTGTTCTTTTCCGATCTTTTCAAATTCTCCCACCAACCGAAATTAGTGAGGTTGCTTTCTTTTCCAAATTCTTATTTCTAGTTCTGGCTTTTTAATACTAGATGTTTGAAGCAGTCTCTATTGCCATCCGGTATAAAATTAACTCCTCTGATACTGCTCTAAAACCTTTCGTGCGATTTACCTTAAAATGAACAAATGGTCAGTGTTCTACTTAAGGGGACCATCCATCTCTCAATTCAATTTGATTGTCTTGAGCTTTCACTTGTGTTAGTAACGCCCAATTAAAAGTTTAATACAAAGAGTTGGATTGATTCATGCTTTCGGACATCAAGTCAACTTGAAATTTAGAATGTGCATGACCAACGCTGGACAAGCAATTAGATCCAACTGCTGGATTTTTGAAAAATTAATTGTACTGTGTTTCACTGAAAGTAATTTGAACTTATAAAGATGTTGAACTCATAAAGTTTAGTTACAACATCGAGTCCTACAGGATGTCTTCAGTTTTCAAACATGTTTTTATAGCTGAGTGGTTGAGAGATGTGTATTGGCAATGCCTATTGGAGACCAAAGATATTGAACTTAAGTTTAGTTACAACATCTTTGTATGACTCATTTATTCTTCTCATGATGGTTTCTGCATGCTGAGTATGCTGCTTATACATATGTTTCAGCTTTATTCATAGACCTGAGTTTCTTTCTGTAATTGTCTTGCAGATTAAAGGCATTGGGGAAATCCTGGAGGGCATTTATTCATATACTCAGAGACATAAAAATAGGATAGAGAGGCTTGAAAGAAGTACATTTTTGTTGGACTACACTCTAACAAGGATGTCAGTTTTTGAACCAGAAACTGATTCGAGAGATTTGGCAAGTGGGTCTTCATCTCAAACTGTGAAGAATGTAGATGACTCTCCAAAAGATAATGCTGATCAGGAGCAAAAACAACCTTCTGAAGATCCAAAACCAAAGGCCTCTTCAAAGAAGAGAAAATCTCACAAGTCTGGAGATGGATCACGCACGCATAAGAAGAAAGTTAAGGATGTTGCTTACACAAAGGTTGAAGCAATATCTTTACAGGCATAGCATTGTTTCTCTATCCAATTTCCAATTTTGGGTGCTTGGAGATCCACTGAGTTTGTTGTTTTGTTCAAGCCAATTGAGATTTTGTAATTTTCACCATTAATTATTGGTGTGCTCTCTAATACCATCTCTCTTAGCAAATATAGTCGATGTTGTATCTGCAACAGATTCACCTTTTTACCAAATTTTGTGTTCACTGCTGACGGAAGTAACATGTTGAAGCATGATTCTAAATTAGAATGAGTTTTTAACACTTCTATGTATAATATTGGAGTTTCATTTTTTGCAATTGAAATTGCAAATTTTTTTCCAACACTTCTATACAGATTTACTAAAAAAAAAAAAAAAACAACTTCTACAAAATCTGGCAAAACACACTATTTTTCTATGTAAATCTCAATATCAATTAGTGAAGTGGGAAGAATGCAAAACTTGGTCCACGTTTGTCCGAGTTCATAGTGTTACTTTGTCCCCATAATTCAGACTTCATGATCCTTAAAAAAAAAAAAGGAAAAGAAAAAAAAAAGAAAAGTAAAGAAAATATTATCTAACATCCCTCAAATTCAATCTCAAAACTCAAAATTTTATTCAACCTATTTGCAAGTTATAACACTTACAAATGTCTCCCCAACATTCCAAAATGGTAATATCGGCTACAACTGTTAATTTTGTTAGCCAAGGCTATGCTGATTTTTTCCATGACCTCTGGTGACGGTTCTGTTTTTGACAATGCTTTTCCTCCTCCTGCCTTCATTTTTCCCGACTGCAAGAACCGCAACAGCGTGACAAGGGAAGCATAATCAAGAGAAAGACTGCAATAATGATAATTTGAATTGGAATTGGAAGCTGCAACGCCATGAACTCTGTTAATTTATTCAAAATTAGATATGTTTTTATTATACAATTTAATATAATTTAGACTATAAAATTATAAAATTACTTATTAATGATAGCTCAAAAACAGATTTACCACCAATCCAAACATTATAATTGTAACATTACCAGAATTCAAGCACAATCCTTAAAACTCTACAATGAAATCTTAAGAGTAAACTAAAACAATAATTGCAACAGAACAGAAAATAAAGAAAATAATGTAAGTATGCTTCCAGGACAGCAAAATCAATAATTAACGGCAATTCTTTTATAACAGAACAATTTTTTGCTCCTATCCTCAAATCCTTTAGGCTAGCTGTCCTTTCTCCTTCTTTTTCTTTTTCTGTTTTTTGTTTTCCACCAGTAGTGGCGGAGCTATGTTGAGATTGAGCATCTCTCTTTTTTTTTTTTATTAAAAGAAAATTAATATTAAACTATTTAAGTTGTTAATAAATAAATTTATTTAATTAAATCACAACTTGTTTAATAAAGGTATCCTAAGGTAAATGATGAAATTGATGATAAATTTAAACATGTGAGATTTTGACCACGGGGTATTGACATGGGATCATGTTCTATGCGGTATATATGCACTAACTATAAAGGTAGCCTGGGGCTAAACAATGAAATTGATGACACTGGGGCCTTTTGGATAGCTTTTTAACATTAACGGTATTATTTATGGGTTTGTTTAACTTGGATATTTTAAGAACACATGTTAAAATTTATTAATTAAGATATTTTAAATTAATTTTATATAACTTTTTATATAAGATATGATTTTTTTAATATAAATTTTAAGTATAAATATTATATTATATTATATTTTTACATATTATATTCGAGTCAGTGAAGTGGGAAGAAACCAAAACTTGGTCCACGTTTGTCCATTTTCATAATGTTTCTTTGTCCCCATAATTCAGACTTCATGATCGTTAAAAAA